TGGAAAGATAGTATAGCAGGTAAGGCACTTGCCTTGCATGATGCTGACCAGGTTTACTCCCTAGTATGTACATGGTCCCATGAGCATTGCCAAATGTGAGTTTTGAGCACAGAGCCAGGAGTAAGTTCTGAGAAATGCTGGATGTGACAACAAAACCAAACAAAAGAACAAGAAGAAAAAAACCTCCCAGATTAGTTCTATAAGATGAAGAGCTGTATAGTATCCATTCATTTGACCTATTGGTCCCAAGAGGTTACCATAGTAAGAAATATTTCATTAGACTCCAGATAAAGTGATATAACCACAGTAAGGAGTGAAAGAAAGGTAAAGGAAAAACAATGACTGCTAACAATTCCTTTTGAAATTTAAGAAGAAATTCTGATGCTAAGGAAACTTAAAATCTGTGTGTGTTTATTTTAAGTCAGTTAAAACTGTGGTGTTCAATATAGGAGTCACCATGCAGTAGCCATGTTTAGCCCAAATTTGATATACTGCAAATTAAAATTCATAGCAGTCTGTAAGGAGAGTGTTGAAAATATAAAGTCTCTCTGTAACAAATTTATGTGATAAGCTAAACAGATAATTGGTTTGATATATTAAGTTAAATAAAATACCTTTTAAATTAATTGTATAGATTTATTTGGACTTTTTTCAAATTGTGCATGTTTAAACTACATAAAAAATACATAGGACTTTGGGGATATGGTGCCACAAGCAGATCAATCTATACCTGTGAGGCAAGTGCATAAGCAGCCTGATGGCTCCTTCAGACTTCCAGATACCCCAAAATTTGCTGTGGCTTTGGCCAGACACCAAAAACTTGAGGCAAAGTTTACCAAGAAAGTAAACAGCCAAAAGTTAGGTATGTGGGAGACACACCCACAAAACAGCTCTGGATCAGCTATAAAATTGGAGGCATGGCCTCTCTGGCTCCTGATCAAGCTGCTTAATGGCCATGATCCCAGAGACTCAGAAACAAATCTCGAAACCTAGCGGCTTTTGGCAGAAATGTGTCCAGACCACACAGTAGGTTACTGTCACCAGGCCACCCCAGGTGGGAAAGGGTGCTGTCCCTCCGGCCTGCTCCCCCTTGGCAGCTCGGTGGATGCCATCCTCCAGAGGCCATTGGACAGTCAGGTTTGGGCCCACAGTGAAGAGACACGCGGGCCTCACGAGATGGGTGTGGAGGCGGCCCTTTCCCTGCCATCCCAATGAGACCCCGAATCGCCGCTAATGAATGGCCTCTCTGGCTCCTGATCAAGCCGTTTAATGGCCATAATCCCAGAGACTCAGAAACAAATCGCAGAACCCAGCGGCTTTTGGCAGAAATGCGTCCAGTCCCTGCAGTAGGTTACAGGCACTGGGCCACCCAGGTGGGAATAGACTTAGTGCGTTGGCCTGTTCCCCTGGCGGCCTGGTGGCGGCCATCCTGCAGAGGCCACTGGACCGTCAGGTTTGAACCCGCAGTGATGAGATACATGGGGCCTCACAGGATGGGGGTGGAGCTGGCTCTTTCCTCTCGTCCCAATAAGACCCTGAGTTGCTGCCAACGAACGGCCTCTCTGGCTCCTGATCAAGCTGCTTAACGGCCATGATCCCAGAGAGTCAGAAACAAATCTCGGAACCCAGTGGCTTTTGGCAGAAATGTGTCCGGATCCTGCAGTAGGTTACTGTCGCCGGGCCACCCCAGGGGGGGAAGGGTGCTTGTCCCTCCACCTGCTCTCCCTTGGCGGCTCAGTGGCCACCATCCACCAGATGCCATTGTACAGTCAGGTTTGGGCCTGCAGTGACAAGACACTCAGGGCCTCATGGGATGGGGGTGAAGCTGGCCCTTTCCTCCCTGTCCCAACAAGACACCTAGTTGCCATCCAGGTATGGCCTCTCTGGCTCCTGATCAAGCTGCTTAACGGCCATGATTCCAGAGACTCAGAAACAAATCTCAGAACCCAGTGGCTTTTGGAAGAAATGCATCCGGACCCCACAGTAGGTTACTGTTGCTGGCCCATTCCAGGGAGAAAAGGGTGCTATCTCTCTGCTTGCTCCCTCTAGGTGGCTTGGTGTCCACCATCCTCCAGAGGCCATTGGACAGTCAGGTTTGTGGCCTCAGTAATGAGACATGTGGGGCCTCACGGGATGGGGGTAGAGCTGGCCCTTTCCTCCCTGTCCCAACAAGTCCATGAACGGCCTTTCTGGCTCCTGATCAAGCTGCTTAACAGCCATGATCCAAGAGACTCAGGAACAAATCTCAGAACCCAGCAACTTTTGGCAGAAATTCCTCCAGATTTCATTGTTAAAATTTCAAAATTGCAAAATTGCACAGCCACTACTGCAGCCATGCGACATCATATGTTATTCATAACCAGCAATAGAAAACAAATTGTCTACTGTTGCCTTTTCAGATCTGACTGTTGGGGTAAAATCCCAAATAATAATGGTGGGTCTGGTGTCAAAATATTGAATGTAATCCAAGTAGAGAGAGAGAGTAATGTGGAAATCATCTGCCCCAGAGGTAGGGGGAGGGTATGGGATGGGGATATACTGGGGATTTGGGGGGTGGAGAATGGGCACTGGTGAAGGTACACGTGTTTCATTGTATGACCAAGACTTAAACCCGAATGCTTTGTAACTGCTCTCATGGTGATTCAATAAATAAAATTATAAAAAATGAAAAAAAAGTAAGGTGGAGTTCATGCCTAATTCAATCAGCTAATAAGTTGCTGAATAAACAGTAGTACTCCTTCATAAAAAAAATACACAGGATGCTCATTTTACATTCTTATTGAACAGAGTTTAGCTGGAGGATATTGAAACCTAATTAGAATTAAAAAATGATTACACTACTAACATTGGTGGCAGACTAAATTCTAAACTGTTTACTAATTACACATATAAGTAATCTGTTCCACTAGAGTCTACATGAGTCCAGTAAAATGTAACAGCCTAGTACTTCCTTTAATAAGTTGTCACATAGTTGGATATATTGAAAGAGATTATCTTGAGTGTCCTTGATTCAAGTTAGCTCTTTAAAAAAAGGTGTAAATAAAGGTGAAGTTTCAGGGACACAGAAATAGTACAGTGATAAGATGTTTTGCCTTACATGTGTGGCCAACCTAGGTTCTATTGCTGGCACCACATATGGTCCTCTGAGACTAACCAAAATGATTCCTGAGCACAGAGTTGGAAGCATGTTCTTAGCACAGCCAGGTGTGCCTCCCCAAAACAAAACTAATAAATACCTAATAAAAATTATATTTAAAACACATATAATGTGTGTTTGGTGTACAAACATGTTACCTGAAAATCTATGCAATAATTAGTCATATTTTTCAATTATATTTTAACTCATGATAGTAGATGAATTAAGAACTTTAACAGAACTGTGGGTGCTGCCCTAACAAGCCAGTTGTCACATTAATAACATGGGGTTCTGTTCATGAACATAATAGCACTGTAGCATTGTCCTCCCGCTGTTCATGAATTTGCTCGAGTGGGCCCAGTAACGTCTCTTTTGTGAGACTTGTTGTTACTGTGTTTGTCATATCAAATACGTCATGGGTAGCTTACCAGGCTTTGCAGTGCAGGCGAGATACTCCTGGTTTCCGGGCTTGCCGGGCTCTCCGAGAGGGGCAGAGGACTCGAACCCGGCTAGGCCGGGCCGTCTGCACTCATGGCAAATGCCCTACCGCTGTGCTATCATTCCAGCCATGAACATAATATACTGACAAAAAGATTCACTTTGCCATTGTTTGTTGTGAAAGTAATTCAGATCAAATGAAGAGAATTCCCAAATCTCAACTAGAGTTTGCACTAATGACAAAATAATATCTTATCTCAACTAGAAGGTTAATTTTCAAAAAGAATTCCAGAAAAAGTCTAAAAAATGTCTCCAGTGAGTTATGAATAGAGAGGAGAAGCAATCTCTATATCCCACATATAATTAAATAAAATTGATTATATAATTATAATATTAGTGCATTTATAATATATGTTACAATATATTACATATGTGTCCTCTATCAAGTTTAACTCGATGGCAAATCATGAAACTAGTAAAAACTATTTTTTAACATACTTAAATAAAAAACCCACCAGAACTTGCTAATGTTTAATTTAGCATTTTTCATACTCCATGGTACGTAAAAGGTTAACTACTGTTAGCCCCTGCCTATTTTTAAAATTGAGAGATATTTAGAGATCATAATAAATAATAAATACTTCTGACACCATAAAGTTTCTGTGAACTGCACTTATCAAATCAGCATATCAGATTGCCTACTCTCATAAAAATAATATTGAAAAGTTTTTTAAACTTGAAATTTATCTTTTTGAATCTTTGCACCATCAGAAGAAAGAGACAGAACCAAATCTTTCTGCTTTGGAGATGACACAACTTAGACTCAGAAGGTTGAATGATATGCCTGATACGGTACAGCAAATCCTCCAACCAGGTTCCTAGATCACAGGATCACTGCATTATTGAAATTCTGTGTTATAAAGCACTTCAATAGGCTATGAAAGCATTTTAGGAAGATTTATATCCTTATAAGTTTAGAAATAGCAAAACTGAAAAAGGCCGTGTGTAAGTGTGTGTAAGTGTATGTGTGTTTGTGTGTATATGATTATCCACACAGATGCACATTAAGATGACATAAAACAAATAAATTCAAAAGAGAAGACGAGGATTATATCATTAGGTGCATTTTTGTTTTCAGTGACAATTCATGAGAGAGATAAACATGGAGTATCATGATGGGGTAGAGGTGGGGTAGCCTTGGTGCCTCAATATTCTATAACTAGTCTTCTCACAAATCTCTAATATGCAAGACCACAAGGGTGAGTAATATGCAAGATCAATCTTTATTTCAAATCTCAATCTCATGCGCTAATCTCCCATGGAATTATAATGAGGATGTTGGAAATGGTTTACTGGCAATGGTAATGAATGATTCTGTTTTAATACTGGTTAGGAATTCCAATTATAATCAAGTAAGTGAACTTACTTCGAGAGAGATTCTCAAGGGCTTTTCCCAGTTTCTTGCTCTCTTGAAGGATGTGGTTCAATTCATCAAAATCACGGTTTTCTGTTTTATTCCGCCAGTTCCACTTAGGATGCTCTACTGACCTTGGCGCTACGTTTAAAAAAAATGATTATGTCATAATTGTGTGCTACATAATGATACAAACTTAACTTTTCATCAGCATGTGAAGGATTGATCTATGATGAATGTACAGGGTAAAATTTTAGTCTTGAGATGGTAGTATTGTGAGCAAATAAAATTTATAAAGTTGTGTTTTAAGAAAAAATGTAAGTGAATAAGTAAAAGAAGTATAACATTGTCTATGAAGAAGAAAACTCTAGTATTGATGCAAAATACTTATTTTTCAATAGGGGAAGACATACAAAGTATTTTCTATGATGAAAGGCAAAAAGTAATAATAAATTAATAAATAGTGCATTTATTAATAAATATATTAAGATATTCTTGGAATTTTCTAAGAAAAGAGAAGACTGAGTAAGTGTGAATTTATTTACCTACAGATATTCCCCATATTTCATTAAATTTACACTGGAGAAAGAATCTTTTTCATTGAAAAATTAGTTGAACAAAGAGAGATGATACTATTAGTCAAGACATAGCGACATGTTTGAAGACAAAAATGAAGTGATGAGTGACTAACTGGATTTAGTAACACATAGAGTCACTACACATAGGTCACTAAAGAGAAAGAGCAAGTTAATATTGTACTTAATAGTAAAAAAACTAAAAGCCTTCCCTCTAAGATCAAGCATAAGGCTGGGATGCTGAATTTCTGCACTATAATTCCACAGCATCCAGACAAGAAAAAGAATCCAAAGTGCAAAAGATGAATTTGTACAGATGACATCAAGATATACATAGAAGATCCTAAGAGTCCACTGAAATTATTGGAAATAATGAATCTATGTAGTAAAGTAGCACTGTTCTCCCGTTGTTCATCAATTTGCTCGAGCAGGCACCAATAGTAAAGTAGCAGGTTATAAAATCAGCGTACAAAAAAATCTGTTGTATTTCTATGAACAATGAACTAGAAGAGAAAGAAATTTTAAAAATCAATATATTGGAACCTAAAACATTAATTACATAGGACTCAATGCTTGTTTTTTTTTTTTTTAAAAAAAGAGTGACCAGAGAAATAGCTCTGTGGGCCGAGTAGACTCTTTACATGTGGGAGATCTGGGATATTTCCTCAACACTTTTGAAAGTCCCCCCAAAACTACTTCCAAATACAGATCCAGGATCTGAGGTAGAGACACAAACAGCCCTTGAGCATGGCCAGATGAGGCTCAAAAAACAAACAAGCAACAAACAAAAAGATATGAAAGACTACACACCGAAACTATAAGTTATTCTTCAAAGAAATTAAAGAGTTTACAAAGAAATGAAAAATTGATTTATGTTTATGGATTAGAGTGAACACTGTACCAATAACCATACTCCCCAAAACACTGTATATATTCAATGCAATCCCTATCAAAATTCCAATGATGTTCTTCAAGATTTATAACATATGCTAGTAAAATTTATACAGAATCATAAGTCTTCTTGAAAAGTCAAAACAATTCTCAGAAAAAGGAAAGGCATTGCAGTTCCTAATTTTAAACTACACTATAAAGATAAAGCAAAATGATGTGGTACTGCAATAAAAACAGACATTTGTACCAATGAAACAGAATTGAGCTCAGAACAAACTCTCTTATGTAAAAAAAAAAATTAATGGCAAAATAACTTGATGCATTAAGTGGAATAAAGGAAAGTCTCTTCAACAAATGGTGGTGTGAAAACACCATTTGTGAAAAACTGAAGCTGAACTTAGATGTAACACACAGAAGTTAATTCAAAATGGATTAAAAACCTTGAATGGGGCCCAGGAATGTGGTTCAGCCAGAGCATTTGCCTTGAATGGGTTGAATCCCCAGAATCAGAGAAAAAGAAAACAAACAAACAAAGCCTTGTATGTTCTGGTAAAATTCTAATGAACAGAATCCATAAAGAAAACAGGCAGAACTCTACTGGATATTGACCAGAGTTGTCACCAATGATTTGACTCTACTGGCAAAGAACACTAAATTAAAAATAAACAACTCGTACCTCATCAGACTAAAAAGGCTTGGCACAGAGAAGGAATTAAAAGACACTCTACTAAGAGGAAGAAAAAATATGCACACCACAAAGAGCTAATAGCACTGTAGCACTGTCCTCCCGTTGTTCATCCATTTGCTTGAGCGGGTACCAGTAATGTCTCACAATAACTTGTGAGACTAGTTGTTACTGTTTTTGGCACATCAAATATGTCACGGGTAGCTTGCCAGGCTTTGCTGTGCAGGTGGGATACTCCTGGTAGCTTGCTGGACTCTCCAAGAGGAGCGGAGGAATTGAACCCGGATCGGCCTTGTGCAAGGCAAATGCCTTACCCTCTGTGCTATTGCTCCAGCCCAACAAAGAGCTAAAATGCAATATATATAAAGCACTTCAAAGTTAAACATATGAAGAACAACCCTAGCATAAAATGAATAGAGAAGATGAACAGATACTCCCTTAAATACATATGTATGACCAAGGGCCTATTAAAAAAAAAAGTGTTTTTCAGCTGATTGTCAGAGAAGTGCAAAAAAAAAATGACAATATCACCTCACACCAGTGAAAATGGCATATATCGAAAAGACCAGAAATAACTGGTATTGGCAGGGATCAGTGAAAAATTCACTCAATTTACTGTTGGTAGGAATATATAAACTGATCCAACATCTAATGGAAAACAATATAAAGCCATCTCAGTGAATTGAAAACTGAATATCCCAATAACACAGTGATGTTATTCTTGGCATCTATCTCCAAATACTACATTAAACTAAAAATACATATGCATGCACACCTATGGCCATAGCCATGCTATGTGTAATACCAAGATATAAAAACATTCCACATTCTCAATTACAGATGTGTGGATTTAAAAATGATTTGGCATATGTACACAATGGAGTGCTCACAATGGAGTGCTATTGGGCTATAGGAAAAGGTTAAATTTGCCTTCTGCTATAATAAAAATACAGCCTAAAATGTCATGTTAAGTAAAAATAGTACAAAAGAAAAAAGATAAATATGGTGTGATCTGTTAATATGTGATATATAAAGAAACAAAAAGGGAAATAGCCATATCCAAAGATAATACACCCTAGACTATAGAACTAAGGTTACCAAGTGGTGTGTGGAAGAGGACCAGAAGAGATGCAGGACACTGATGAGGGATGTATTCCCAAAGCATATACATTAGCATTCTTATAGTCATGTTAACTATAATTTGAAAAGAGTAACTATTAAAGTGTTAAATTAAACTAATGACAAAGTAATAAAGACTGAAGAACTAAATTTTGCTCTTGAGTGAAAGGGTCCATTGTTTCTAGTTCAAATAAACCCTTATGATCACAAAAAAAAATTTAAAGATCAAGAAAATATATTTAAAAATTTCACCTGAAAAGACAGCAAAATAATGTTTCTATCAGCAACAACATTGAAATAAGATACAGCAGAAATTTCTCAAATTTCTACCTGAAGATTACTTTTAAGAATTATGTATCAACTAAGTTAAGATACTTAAAAGGACTCAAATATTTTTCTCATCATAAATATTCTTCAGAAATTTATTATTTATTTATTAATAATATTTATGTGAGAAGCAAAACAGAGAGAATTAAAGACACCTTGCAGGACTTCTGTCCTTCAAAACTATATACCACTTCAAAATAAAAAAATAGTTATGTGGTTTGGCTAGAGGAAATATAGTCTCACTATTCAAATATATATATATATATTTCTTCCACCTCTAAGATTGTGCAGCAATATTTATAATAATAAATACTATACTGACACAGAAATACTAAGTCTAGTAAATTATATAATGAACACTTTATTTATCCATATACAAGGCTGTTTATTTTGTCTGAAAATATGATATATTTATTTCTTTTAACAAATAATTTGTGGTGGCAAAACTAAAAAGATAACCTAGTAAGAGAATAAAAAAATTATAGCATAAGTAAACTATGCTATAGTAAGAGAATAAAAAAATTATATCATAAGTAAACTATGTACACTACGTACAATAAGTGCATATATATGCATACAAATAGAGAAAACTTGAATAAACGTTTACTAACATGGAGATGCTTCCATAACACATTTTAAAAGTAAACTATGTACACTACGTACAATAAGTGCATATATATGCATACAAATAGAGAAAACTTGAATAAACGTTTACTAACATGGAGATGCTTCCATAACACATTTTAAAATAGAAAAATAGTTTTTTAAGAATATGTAGTTTAAAGTCAGTATCATAAAGCAATCCACATGTATTTTTTATATTTTCTTGTACAAATAAAGGGTGGTGAAAATAAGAAAAGTATTTCAAAGGATGTGAAACAATACAAACTACTATGAGAGGAAGTTGAACTTGAGAAATCTGGAAGAAGAAATTCTTTTGAATTTTCTTTGGTGGGTCCTTACCAAGCAGCACTTCTAGCAATATTTGGCCAAACAGTCTAGACGGTTCAATGCTCCAGCTGAGTGACACAACACCGCTAATCTCAGGACTGCTGTAGGTCACCAGGGCCACCAGGTGACCAGGGCAATGGTGCTCGATGAACGATGAGGTCCTGGGAGTAGAATCAGGTCCTTGCACATACAAGGTAACACTCACTTCACTAGACTATCTCCTCAGCCCCATATTCAAAAATTTTTATCATAAAAAATCAAATATTACTTCTATAATTTAAATAAATTCCTTTGTGTTTCTTTGTTATGGAAACCCCAAGAACAGATGTCAGTTAACACCAACATATTCTAGTTCAAGCAGTGACAGGAGGACACAGTTACCATTATCAATGATTCTAAGAAAGAGTTACAGGCATATAGCAAATACCCACAGATTGTGTCCCCAGGACCCTGGAGACAAATCTAGGCATAAAGAGGAGAAACCTAGAAGAGAAGATAAAACTGTTTGTATCACAGCCTGATAGTATCATACACTGATTGGTACTTTTGTTCACTTTCTTTAAAGAATTTTTCTAATTTCTACATTGGACTTC